CCACTGCACTCTGCCTAAGCAGGTGCTTTAGTCTGCTGAGCTATCTGGCCAGCCCTTAAATCTCTTTATGCATTTATTCATTTGATACAGGGTCTCGCTAGGCAGTTCAGACTTGTAGTGATCCTGCTGTCTCAGCCTTCCCAGCACTGGGATTATAGGCACATGCCACTATGCCTGGTTTTGGGGTTGGCATGGCATAGGGTCCCAGGGATCAAACTCGAGTCTTTGAACTTGCCAGGCAGGCGCTTAGACTGCTGAGCTATCTCCCCAGCCTCCTTATTTTGTTTTTTAATGCAGGGTCTTGCTATATAGTTCTGACTAGCCTTGAACTATGGAGCCCAGGCTGGCCTTAAACTCAGTGATGATTCTCCTGCCTCAGCCTCCCCAGCACTGGGATTAGGGACATGCACCACCATGCCCAGCCTTCCCCCTTCTTTTTTTTGAGACAGGTTGTCACTGTGTTGCCTCAGCAGACCTCTAACTTTGGTACTCAAGTGATTGCCTGCCTCAGCCTCCCGGTAGCTGGAACCATAGGTGCAAGCCACTGCGTGGAGCTCGATCTGCTCCTCATTAGGCACCACGTGTGTACCTGTCACTGACACTGCACACATAGGCAGTGAACCAGGCAAGGTAGTTCTCTGCCCTCGAGGACTCAGATCCAGTGGAGGGAGGTGAACAATACAAAAGATAACATTTTACAGTGTGTTACAGGCTGTAAATGCTTACATATGGCAACAAGGCAAGGTGAAGGTGGTGGTATTAAATAAGGGGGTTGAGAAGGTGCCTGAGCAGCCAGCGCAAAGGCCCCGCAGCAGGTGCAGGCAGAATCCTGGAGAGGGATGGGTATTGGTAAGAGGAGCAAGGGGAAGGGCTGCTTTAAAGTTGGAGGTGACTCAACTCACCCTTGAGTGGTGGAAGGGAGGGACAGCACCAGCTCCAGTATTAAGACCCCGCGGATGCCAGAGTGGGCAGGAATTACAGTCCCCCCTATCCTACATCGAGAGGCTGCAGGAAATAGCTGGATTCTCATAGCGACTTACGAACTAAAAGGTGGGGGGGAAGAACTAGGAGGAGGGAGTTGGAGTAGGGGATGGGGTATTGGCCGGTGTTACAGCCCAGAACAAAGGGAGTCCTTTAAGGGCCCACTGGGGAGGGGATGGAGGCCTGGGGTTCCACGACTGCCCTGTGGGATCTGCCTTCCTGAGTGCTGTCAGCAGTTCCACCGCTGCATGCCTGTAGCGTTCTGTAAAAGGCTCCTCAGTGCTATTGTCCTCCACCGCACCCCCAGGACCCTTGAAGAACCTCCTTCCACCCACTCCTAGCTCCCAGCCCCCTTGGTCCTCCCCTCAGCCTTACTCTGGGAAATCCAAATTCTTCCCACTTAAACTCACCTTTTGCCCCCAAGGGCACTTTCCTAAACAAAGAGAAACAGGGAGAGAAATTACAGTTTGCCTAAGAGGCAGAAGTGCCGCAGGCAGTGGCGGTGTTTTTCTCGCCTGTATATCCAGCTCCAGGTGTCAGCTGGGATCTCCCAGCTAATTTAACCTGGCTCTAAGCCTCCCAACAGTGAGTTCCTCCCCGACTGCCTTACTCAGGCCCCGCTCTTCCTCCTTCCCCTCACCCCTTCGCATCCTTCTCCAGCCACTGGGTTTGGGGAATCTGTACCCCACTCTGCTGCACCCTCAGGGTGCATGGATAATGCAGACCCTTTCCCGCCTTTGCACTCACACAGGTGTTTACCTGTGAGCTCAGGAGTGTGGAGCCAGCTTTTGAAGAGGTTTGGGATGCAGGAGGATTTACACCAACAGACGGGTATAGCTCAGTGAAGGGGCACTTGCCTAGTATTTGAGAAGCCCTAGATTTAATCCCCACTGCTGGGGCGGTCAGGGGGACCCCAAAACCAAACACAGACCTAATCGGGCTAGCAATGCAAAAGTCAAGGTTAAAGCCAGGAACAGTGGTGCAGGCCTGCAATCCCGGCACTCGTGCAGGCTGGGCTCTCTCCAGATTGAGGCCAGCCAGGGCTATACAGTGATTTCAAGGCCACCCAGATCTCCAGCACCTCCTTTACATGAGGCACCACTTAACCTTTGCAAAACCAGTAATGGAGGTGGTGCATTTACATTTTACAGACTACTCCGAAGCAAGAGGTGCTGGCTAAGTTTGGAGCAATAGCGGCTGGCAGGCCAAAGGGCTCACTAGCCCCTTGGTGGGTCATCTGCAAGGGCTGACTCTGCCCTTCATCTTGTCCTCAGGAAGCTGGATGCCTTCATCTACGACGCCGCTGTGCTCAACTACATGGCCCGCAAGGATGAGGGCTGCAAGCTGGTCACCATCGGCTCCGGCAAGGTCTTCGCCACCACAGGCTACGGCATCGCTCTGCACAAGGGCTCCCGCTGGAAGCGGCCCATCGACCTGGCGCTACTGCAGTTCCTGGGGGACGGTGGGGCTGCCTGCAGGGACTTCTACCCGGGAGGGGAGGCACAGGACCCGTGGGTCCTGGGGATGGAGGGGTTGAAGACCGAACACCAAGCCCAGGAAAGGAAGGGGCTGGGGGCAGGACTCCCATACCAGAAGGGATGTCTTGGGCTGATGCTCACAGTACTGACTCCCAACATCCCTTCCCCAGATGAGATCGAGATGTTGGAGCGGCTGTGGCTCTCCGGGATCTGCCACAACGACAAGATCGAGGTGATGAGCAGCAAGCTGGATATCGATAACATGGCCGGGGTTTTCTACATGCTGCTGGTGGCCATGGGCCTCTCCCTGCTGGTCTTCGCCTGGGAGCACCTCGTGTACTGGCGCCTGCGGCACTGTCTGGGGCCCACACACCGCATGGACTTCCTGCTGGCCTTCTCCAGGGTAGGTGGAAGAGGGTGGCCACGGGCCCGGGAGGTGCAGGCAGAGAGGAGAGGCACAGAGCAGTGGTACGGGAGGCTGGGGAGGCGGCCTGGGAGGAGGTCCCGCACTGACCCGCGCGCCCCAACCCGCAGGGCATGTACAGCTGCTGCA